GCTCCGAATGTGTATTTCGCCATCTTTCTATGTTGCCATCGTTGTGTGTTTCAGTTGTGTGGCATGGAGCGGCACGAAAGATGGTCGTGACAGGTTGCGGTTTGCGGCAGGGGAGCGCTGCAAGTCTGTGATGGAGAACAAGCTCCTCCCAATGTGAACGATGGAATCGCTCACGCAAGCCAACAGTACAGAAAAGCTGCGGCATGCGCGAGGTGCTATCGCCTCGGCACTGGGACATCGAGATAATGAGGAATGGCACCCGAGGCACAAGAGCGGGTCGCATCCACGCCAGGGTCAACGGCACTGCTGGAAAGCAGCAACGGTTGTATGGAGGGCTGGTCGTATCCGCGATGGACGTTGAAGTGTAGGGGGGTGCTTCTACTCCATGCCGTCGCATGGTGTGCTATGCCAGGCCAAGCGTTGGGTGGTGCCAACTCAGACCGCTCGGTGGCACCCAAGTGAACTTCAAGTTGCAATTTTGCATATTCTCGAAAATCACAAAATTTCAGTCCAATTTGCCAAATATTTTTTGCCTTGGCGGATATATCTGGTCGAACTTACAGGACGGTGGCGCGTTGACACGCAAGAACAACGCGGTAGGCGCGCCACCTTCGTCAAGCGATATCGCATCTCTATGTGGGCATATCACGATCCTGTGAGCACATCCACGCCTTCACATTTATATATGATTGAGACCGTACGGCACATTGTTCTCGCCATTGCGTCGTCGCGCTCTCGGGATTGGGTGCCGTATCTGGTCTGGGCGATATGACGTGGGTTCGTATGATTGGTGAAACCCTCATACAAACGCCAAGTGAAAACGGAGTGCAGGTCGTGGAAGTTCATAAAGAAGCACAATATGCCAAAATACAATGAATAAATCATGAAAATATGCCTGAATTTCACATTATTTTTATGGTATGCGTTTGTAATTCGGTTTTCAGCGAATCGCTCCAACGGAGAGAACGCTACCTCCTAAGTCCGATATTGAAGGTATATATAAATCAAGTTCCCATCTAGTAACTCGATAAAGTACGCATTACACTGCAACCACCACCCGGCGGCGGGGCCATGCGAGGAAAGGCGGCACATTCCGAGATCACACATGCAATTCAAAGTCTTTGCGTTGGCAGCGGTCGTCGCGTCCGTGGCGGGGCAGTGCGAAATGGGCTGTATTGACCAGTACGCCCCTGTGTGTGGGTCGAACGGCAAGACGTACTCGAACGAGTGCCAACTAAGGGTCGATGCCTGCACGACCAAGAGCAAAATCGAAATCGCCTCGCAAGGTGAATGCCAGGGGTCAAATTCCGGCAACTGCGAAAAGCAATGCACTCGTGAATTCGACCCCCAATGCGGTTCGGACGGCATCACGTACGGCAACAAGTGCCTCCTCTCGGTCGCGACATGCAAGAATTCATCTGTCAGGCTCGAACGGGCAGGCGAATGTGGCACCAGTTCTCCTTCGACGTGCAAGAAAGGATGCCCGGAAATCCTAAAGGAAGTGTGTGGCTCCAATGGCAAAACGTACAGCAACGAGTGCGAACTCCAGAATGCTGCGTGCGATATTCCGTCGTTGAAGGTCGCCACCGAAGGTGCCTGTGTCGCTACTTCTTCTGCTTCGCCCGCTAACAACGCTGCGGACGACGCTTCCAACAAGGCAGTGACCACGACACCCGCTCCTGCAGTCCCTGCTGCCGTCAAGTCGGCATCTATGGGCTTGGTCACGTCCACGGCGGCCTTTTGTGTAGCCGCTGTGGCCTGTGTGTTGCCGTAAGCATTGTTATCCTACGTAAATCCGAAAAAAGGCTCAGGGTTTTCGTCGATGTGAGACTTGTCCGTTTCGGGGGCCACCAACAAGTTGCTCGAGCCATTTCTCAATGAATTCCTCGCCTTCCAAGCAACGCCCCACCACGTCGTCAATGCTGGTGTGGACCGACCTTGCGTGCATGTATCCGATTCCATTCGTTGCGGAGCTGCAAACTCGAGCAACTCTTTTGATTCCGACATGCAACGTTGACAGCTTGATGTCGTTCGCGCAACGCACTCGCCGCAATCTCAGCGACACTCAGCCCACCTGCGACCTCTTAGAAACAATTGTTGTTCCAACCGTGTGATGTCTCGATCCCTTTGGCGGTTGTTGAGCTTCAAGTAGAGGGTTTACCATCTGCCAAGCTCCGAGGTCGGCACCCCCCCCCCACTTCCAGTCGTAGCCATTGAAGTTGGCTTCGACGAACCGAAAGCCCCCGTCCTTGCCCCTTCACGAGAGATCGCGAATATCGCCTAGCAGATCGGTGAATACTTTGGGGGTGAGGTAGCTTTGGAACGGCCGCGAACCGCATGTTGTTCTTGCCCGCGCCGACCGCGTGGTTTCGAGAAAGGGGTGGCATTGTGGGTGAAAGGGTTCATGGGCTGCTCCTCGTTCGTCTGGCTGTCGCCCAGTCCCACATCGAGCCATTACCCGACCAATAATTCAGTGCCTTACGCTGCCACAACATCTCCAGCGCAGCGGTCCACTGGAGGCTATTCCAGATACGTCAACTCGACAAATCGATCATTAAATTTGAAGTGGGATGAGTGGATTTCTCACTCCAAACAAGAAGCAAAAACACTTCTTAGCCCATGATTGGCCAAATATACTTAGCGATTTTGTGATCTCTGATTGGTTCAGATTCAATTTCAGTCCTTGATTGGACAAATAGACATCATGATACTGTTTCGGCGAAATATAGTTGCACTTACAGCTCACTAATTGGACATATATACGCACTGAATTCTAACGCAATGTGATTGTTTGATTCGAAAACCCTCACACTTTGAACTCTGAAACGCCAACACCTGTCCTCCCACAGCGGGCCAGCGGCGAGATATCAACGACACCCGCCTAAACCTGATGATTGATTACGAGTACCCAGCGCTATTGGCGAGTTCTATTTGCGCTGTAGAAGGGATACCTCGTACAACATGGCAGACGTGATTCAGCAAACGACCGCTACATGTCAACCCAGCGCAATAAGCAACACCCCAATCTTGAAGGCGAAGGTCGACCCTGTCGACGAGTGCTTAGGCGTGAAGGCTACAGCAAACAATGGTTACACTAGTCTCCTCGGCTTGTGCCAACTCTTTTCTCACCGTCATGGATTTGCTCAGCGGGTTCCCTACTTCTTCAAATTAAGGGGAACCGAGGTGCTTGAGAATATGGAAGCGTTTGCCTCAACATTTTGGTCCACGACATCATAACTGCCGACAAGACGGTAGTATATGTCTACTGCCACCACGCCGTATTTGGTTTGAGATTGGCGCCGACGCTAAGATTGACGACGGCGTAGGCCGTAAATGCTGTTGGTCTGTGATAAGTATTGTCATGGTGTTACGATGAGTTGTGTTAGTATGAAACTGCCGAACCTCTCTATTGTGCGTGGGGTCGTACATGGCCACATTGAAACCAATGAATTGTCAACTTATCCTACTGTTCACTTTTACGCCTTTCAAGAAACGGCGTGGATAGACTAAGGCGTGTGGTTCTTCGACTTAAAGGAGCTCCTTAAGTTTGAGCTTGTCGACCCGAAGGCTCTGCTGATGGATAAATTGGCATCCAATGTGTCCGTCCTGTAATGACGGCCCGTGGACGACGAATCGTACCGTTTCAGGAGACCTTACCAACAAACACGATGAATGTGTGTTAACCCCTTGATGTCGGGGTGACGGGTTCTCTTAAGACAAGATGTGCAGCCTATGGTAACGTGAAATGCCATTGATTTCCGCTGCGGAAAAGAGAATGAAAGCGAATTTACGTACCACCGCGACGAGAGAATCGATAAGAGAAGAAATGGTCAGGAAGTCGTTCATGAAAGCTTTCCAACTGCGGTCTGAAAGAAATGAGCCATGATCTCAGTTATTGTTACACAGATGCGGTATACTACAATTTGATCTGTCTTACTTAATATAACCTTGGTTACAAGATATCATGTCGGCAACTCTAACACAGCTGGAAAGTGGCCGCGGGGTTAGTTGCAGGCTCATTTTAATGGCAACGACGCCTTGAGCGACGTCTTTGGTCGAACAGGTCGGCCGTTCTTGTTATAACAACGTGTGGGGAAACGATCAAACAGTACCGAACCGGCAACGGCCACAGCGACACTGCCATATTGTATGGCAGTGCCAACATGGCGATGAATTGTCGTACATGTCGGCTGTCGAGACGGTGGTGACTCGGCTCGGTTGCGAGGGTCTGTCACCTTGATCTCGTGACTGGTTAGGGTGGGGGTATGGTGGTCTTTTCGGTATATATGACTTGGCAATGGTGGAGGAGTTCTTCGAGACCAGCAAAGGTCATTCATGGTGTCACATCACATGGCTGTGCAGTGGTTGGACTGGGCAAGCCGCTATTTAGATTACATTTTGTGCTTTTTTGGCAAACCAAAACAGTCACAATAGTACTGAAGTACCTGGCGTGCCTTCG